GGTGTCTTTGCATATCTGACTCAGGAATTGAGCTGATGGTGTGCACTGCTATGGTCTGCTGCTTGGGAAGAGGCACTTCTGGTAGAGTACAGGTAGGTGGGTGGGTAGAGGAGCAGAGGGAGTGACTTCTCTCTGTCCTTGAGTTACTCCTAAACTATGAAAATAACTTACTCAAAAGTGATTAAATATGTGGCCCTAGAGCACAGAAGTGCTGTGTGAGCACCATCCAAATACTAGGAGAAGATTGACTAACCTGGTTAGACATGTGACAAGCAGCCAGAGGCCCTGTAGCTAGTAAGTGGCTAAGCCAGCATTTGAGCCAGGTGCTCTCTTTCCAGTGACCATTGCACTTCTCTGCCCTTATGGACATATAGAGGGCCACAAAGCCAAGGTGAGCGCCTTGCCAGTGAGGAGCTTATTTGCTGAGGAAATAAATTGGAAACTCTTGTCATTAACGCCACTCATCAGGTTTGCATAGGACCCTGTCTGTCAGTTTCAGTTGGTCCTTATCTCAGCCTTTTGGGCTGGCAGTTACAAGACTCAGGCTTATGTGACCTTAATAATTCATTCAGAATGTTGGAAAAGGCAAAATCCTCCCAGGTTTAAGAAACCTGATCCCTAGCTCCCTGTAGCTGAAAAACAGGAAACTGAAAGGTCATGGTAAAAAGAGAGTGATTTCTAAATCTATTCAGAAAAGAGAAAGAGTTGAATCAGGGGACACTCTGGGATTCCCAGAACGATGGATGACGGCATGGGATTAGAATATGGGTTGAGAAACAACCAGCAGAGCAAAACCTCACCTGTGCATCCCAGTGGATGATTTCAGTAAGTGGGGGGTGGGGGGGGTCAGGGTTCCTGGTTGGCTACAGTAGCTTGAGCTCTGTAGACAGTGACTTTGGCAAAAGTCAAGCCAAGTCTCTTAATTTTATTTATTGATTCCTGTATTTATTCATTCATTCATCAATTAATCCATTTATTTATTCATTCATTCATTGAGATGGGGCCTTGCTATGTTGCCCAGGCTGGTCTCAAACTCTTGGCCTCAAGTGATCCTACCACCTCAGCTTCCCAAGTAGCTAGAACCACAGCTTGATTTCACTTCATCTGGCTATACGCCTCTAATTTTCCTGGGCTAACAGTCTGGAATTTGGAATGTTTTAATCGCCTCATTGGTGAGGATGGGATTCCCACCCGGGGGTTTTAGGAATAACTGAACACCTAACACTGGACAGATAAGATCAGCAACAATTAGTCACAGATACTCACAGCTCAGTGGGGAGGACACCACATGCCATGCAGGAGTGCGTGGCTGTAGCATGCAGAAGCAGCAGGAATAAGCAGAGCCGGTGGGAGGCCAGCTTGGTAGGGTCAGAAGGGTGAGGTATTTCCAGTCCCTAGCGGAGGACGGTACTGGCTTGTTTGGACAATCCCACAGAATGAGCAGGAACTTCATCTGCCCTGTTTGACAAGGAAGGTTGTTTAACAAGACAAACTTCTCCAATGGAGGACTGGGGAAAGGAGGACTTTGTGGTCAGACAGTTCTTGGGCCTCCTGATTTCACCAGATATCAAGGCAGCACGTGGAGTAGAAGGTAATTTCAGGCTTTCTGCCTCAGGGCAGAAGGCCTCAGTGGGTTCTGTCAACACCCTTCATCTCTTGATTTTATATAGTCCTTCCCTAATCTGAAACTCAGGAAGTGATCTTACCCCACCAACCTGGTACAGGCAGTGTTCTGAAAATCAAGCATAAAGTTTGTCCTCCTTTTATGTCAGTGCTGGTCTTTTTGTGACTTCCCAAGGGAAAGAGGAGGGAAGACGAGATCAGTCCATTAGGCTGCATATTTGCAGCAAATGTTTCATGAAGTAGGGACAGGGCAAATGAAAATTAAAATCATAGCCACCACCACCCCTAGTTTATTTTCTACATACGTGATCAGTGTGATCTTCTAAAAATTTTATGTGATCTCACCAGGGCTACAGCTTAAAACCCTTTATAACTGTCCAAACTCTGCCATGGCCTACAAGGTTCTGTGCAGTTTGGCCCCTATCCAGCTGTCTCATACTGGACTTCCTTATGTTATTTATGGTGTAGTCATACAGGTCTCTAGGTTCTGCAAACCTGATATCTTTTAAAAAATTATTTATTTTGGCAGTACTGGGGTTTGAACTCAGGACCTCACACTTGCTAGGCAGGCACTCTACTATTTGAGCCACTTTACCAGCCCTATTTTGTTTTGAGTATTTTTGAGATAGGGTCTCTTGAAGTATTTGCCCAGGCTGGCCTCCAACCTTGATCCTCCTGATCTCTGCCTCCTGAGTAGCTAGGATTACAGGTATGAGCCACCAGCACCTGGCTGATACGCTTTTTCTGCCCCAGGACCTTTGCAATTCTATTCTGTACCTAGAATGTTTTTCTTTCCTGTATACCCTAGTTAACTAGTACTTACTCTTCAGATTTTAGCTAACTCATTCTTTAAGTAGGATTTCTCTGATCTTCTCAAGTAGGTCAAATTCTCCTAGTATAGGCTCTCAGAGCCCTATTTCTTCTTCACCAGGATATTCACCACAAGTTACAAGTTTATATTTGTTTGAATTATTTGATCGATGTCTATCTTCTTACACCTCCACAACAGCAGCAACTACATTTGTCACTGGTCTTCAATGAGTATTTGTTGGTGGGAAAATGAATGTGTTCATTGGGATTTGGAACCTTTCTGAAAAAAAGGAATCAAAGAAAACACTTAAAATAAGTGTATTACAAATCATTTTTATTATCAAAACAGTCAAGAACTAGGAAGATTGAAAAATGGTTCCCTTTAAAGAGACAAGTACAAGTCCATTGCCAGTTCTACAGGAAGCCATCCAATCTACACCAGGAAAGCGGCTCTTTTCCCTTCTGACACAGGGGTGAAGTTGTGATCACTGTGCAACTGCCATAATAGAAGAATGCATTTAGCTGTAAGAAAACAGATTCTGCAAAATGTGCTGCTCACTGCCCTTGGCAATGGCAGTGTTGTATGCAGCAGACTAAAAATAAGAATATAAATGTGATCCCTGTTACTATAATAAGTGTTAGACATTTTACACACTGTGAAAGAAGCATGTCACCCTCTTGTCCAGAGGATCAGTGGGGAAGGTGAAGGAAAAGAGAAGAAGGATCCAGTGATCATTTGCTACTCCAAATTCTGCCTCTACCTGGGGCCTCAACTACTTTACAAAAATACATGAGAAATAAGGCACAGAAAATAAATATATGAAGGCTCAGAGGCCACCAGAAGGGAAACCTGTAGCCATTACATAGAGTTCTTGGAGTAAAAAATTTCAGTTCTAAAGAAGCTATATATTGTCTACTTTTCAAAAATATCTCCGAAAAGGTAGTAAAACTAAAAATTCAATATGGCACGATTAACTTGATTCCTGAGTTTAAAGTCAGATAAAACCCTGGGTCAAAAAAAGAAGATTTTTAATCCATCTGTTTTACATTAATAGAAACCCTCTGGTTTTTTTTTTAAGTATCAAAATGGTAAGTCTTAGAGTACACATAAAACTCACAGATCATCAAATCACAGTATTTTAATAGTCTTCACAGTGTACCACTTACTCTTTGAAGCAGTTGTTTAGAAATAAATAGCCAACTATGGTAACAAAACCATGTAAAGGAAATCCTGAGACAGGGCCCCCCAAACCTACGGCTATTCATTTCCACATCCTTAGAGGTTGCTATGTAGAAAAAGTGAAGGTTGAGGTGTGGGTCCTTTCTTTTTTTTTTTTTTGTAGTACTAGGATTTGAACTCAGGGCCTACACCTTGAGCCACTCCACCAGTTCTTTTTTGTGAAGGGTTTTTTCAAGATAGGGTCTTGTGCACTATTTTCCTGGGCTGGCTTTGAATTGTGACCCTCCCGATCTCTGCCTCCTGAGTAGCTAGGATTATAGATGTGAGCCTCAGTGCCTGGCTTCTGTTTTGAGATAGGGTCTCACTGTGTAGCCTAGGCTGGCCTCAAACTCACAATCCTCCCACCTTAGCCTCTTGATTGCTGGGATTACAGGCATGTACCAACCATGCCTGGCAGTGTGGGCTGCTTTTTAAAGCAGCATCCAGACTGTATCTATTCTAATTGGTTGCAAAATCCAGGATGTTAAAGCACTAAGGCAGCCTTTTCTAGTTTCACTTGCAGTCATAGGATTGTGAGGACTGGAATGTATTGGGTAGCACACAGATTTGATGGCTTCCAGGGCTGGTCTGATGTTGTCATTTGGTCCACAGCCCCCTCAGACCTGTCCCACCAGAGACCTAAGCTCCAGAGGGGCCTCAAGGACAGTCTGAGCTCCCTAAGTACCTTAGAATCAGAGAAGGTGTGGGCAGGGTCTGTGTCTCCATGCATCAGGTTTGCTTTTTGTCCTAGTTATCTATTGTCCCCAAACTAGTGATTTAAGGCAACAGATTGTTCCTCCAGGTTGCCTGGGCAGGTCTCATTTCAGGTGTCTAATACAGTTTTGGAGCCACCAGAAGGCTGCTTCATGGGTGGTGACGTGGCTTGGATGGCATGAGATCTGGGAGCTGGTTGAGCACTTCCCCTTTTACATGGCTGGTTGTGCTTCCTCAAGCAGGATGGTCTTGGAATAGTCTCTTTTTTGGGGGCTGGTATCCCCCTTGGCAAGAGTTCTGAGGGACAGCAAGTAGAAGCTCCCAGCCTCTTAAGACCCTAAAATGGATACAGCACCACATCCATTATTGAGTAAGGCCACCAGAGCTGACCACACTCAATGGGAGGATACAAAGTCCTCAGGTCTTGAAGGACAAGGGTCAATGAATGTATGGCCACCTTTAAAACCCCACATTCTCCATCTAGGATCCAAAGGGTTTGCTCTTAGTTAGACATATCCTAGCCTGACCTCACAATTGGACACTTTGCATCCATGGAACTCTTCACGCATTCACAAACAGTTCATGGTCACAGACTCAATCTGTCCTCACAATAGCTCTGACATTGGCTGGTAATGAGGAGTCTGAGGTACAGATATTGAAGGCCCAGGACCACACAGCTTGGAATCCAGACCTAAATCTCCATTTGGCACTCAGTCCAGCCTTGGAATTCTGGTTTGTTGGTTGGCTATTCTGTCCTGCTCACCCCACGATCAGGGCCATCACGACTGAAGGAGAGGAAAGCACATTTCCCTTTGGCTGAAAATGAGGCTGCGGAGTCACGCGTGTGACGCTCCGACTGTGCACGTCACAGGACTATCCACGTGACTGCCGCAGCCCGGCTGTCAGTAAGGACTCCTGAACCCGCTGTACCGCCCTTCACTCTTGGGAAACTCCTTCCGGATCTGCCAGCGGCAGCAACTGGGCAGGATGGCAAAGTCTGCCATGTCCCGGGAGCCAAAGCGCCAGGTAGTATAGCACCTATAGGCGCAGTGCCGCAGCCGGCGGTTGGTGTCTTCTGACTCCAGTGCCAGCAAGGGTTCCTGGTAGAGCAGGAGGAGCTGCAGGGCTCCTCTGCACAGCACGAGCTTCCTGAAGAGCTCGGAGGTGGTGATGCACGGCCCTGGCTTTCTCCGGCAGCACAGCTCCTCCAGGCACTTGTGGCTTTCGGGGAGCTGGGAAGGGAGGCAGCTACCACACTGACACCAGCTGGGGCTGGCTCCAGAGCTGGGAGTCACCTGTTTGCAAAGTGGCTGCATTTCCTGTGCTTGTCCAGGAGTGGGGGGTGGGTCCTGGAGAGACAGGGACAGCTTGGACAGGTCTGTGAAGTCCATCGCAGGTCTCTGAAAAAGACCGAGTTCCAAAGCATCAGCAATGATAACTCCAAGAGCTGAGGCAGTATTTATCTGAAAATAAAGGGACCGGGATATGGCTCCGTGGTACAGTGCTTGTCAGCTGCATTTGAGACCCTGGATTCCATCCCCACTACAAAAAAGGGAGAAAACAATCACAATATTGAAAGTCGATTCCCAACATATTAGAGGGGGAACTCATTGATCATTTCAAAAGAAGCAGAAAAAAATTACTTAAAAACTCATGATAAAAACTAGCAAACGACACAGAAGAGAAATTTTTTAGGCAAAAACAAAGGTTTATTAGGATGCTACTAAAAGGGTGAGAGGATGGCAGGCCGTTACACAAAGGAGCACAGTGCTGTGAATTTTCCTTTTTTTTTTTTGGTGGATGTGGGATTTGAAGTCAGGACCTCCAGTCCATTTTGCTCTGATTACTTTTTGGAGATGGGGTCTTGAGACTTACTTACCCAGGCTAGCCTTAAACCTCTATCCTCCTGATCTCAGCCGCTCAATTAGCCGGGACTACATGAGTGAGTCACAGGGCGCCCAGCCTTGAGAATTTTCTTACTCCAATATAGCATTCTTTAAAACTTATACAACTACACTGGGGATGTGGCTTAAGTAGTACAGTGCCTGCCTAGCAAGTGCTAGGCTGTGACTTCAAACCCCAGTACCATCAAAAAGAAAAAAGAAAAGAAAAACTTACACAAATATGAATAATGACATATTTGTAGTAGTCTCAGGCTTCCTCCCCAAGACAGGGAATGAGGCAGAGATGACTGCTGTTGCCACTTCCAAGCATCCTTGACTTGGGGTCCTAGCCAGTGCCCCAAGTGCCAGATGTTAGGAAGAAGCAAGGGGCCGGGGCTGTAGCTGAAGTGGTAGAGTTCTTACCTAGTGTGCACAAGGCCATGGGTTCAATCCCCAACACTGCAGAAATTTTAGAAAAGCAGAAAGATTCTCCCCATCACCTTGGTTCCAGGCATCCCGCTTCCAGACTGTGGCAGAATAGACTTTTGTTTTCAGCTACCTAATTCGTGGTCATTGGCCATGGCTCCTCAGGGTACTACACCGCCAGCAAAGCTGCTCAGCAGCCAGCCCTGCCATGGAGGGTGTGAGCAGAAAGCCTTGGAGCTCTGTTGGCTAGCATCGACTAAATCCAAACGTATGCCTGACACAGGACTTGTAGGCCATGTGTTTGCCGTGCAGCATGACTGGCATTTGCCCCAAACTAGAAGCTTACCAAATATCTATAGTCATAGCAGAATAGTGAAATTGGACATTTGCAAAATGGAAATTATATAACAAGGAGAATGAACTGTTGTCATGTGATGTCATGGCTAACTCACAAAAGTAAAATTGAGGGAAAGGAGTCAGCCACTCAGCAGAGTATATCCTGAGTACTTACTTAGTATATGACTCAGTTGTTTTGAGGCAGGGTCTACCATAGTGACCAGGCTGGTCTGGAGCTCCTACAATCAAGTGATTCTCCTGCCTCAGCCTCCCAAGTGCTAGCAATCCAGGTGTGCATCACTGCACAGCTTGTATGGCTTAATTTTTATAAAGCTCTAGAAGAAATAAGACTAATCCTTAGATACAGGTTCATGGCTACTTTTAAGGAAAGGTAGCAATTAAGTGGGGGCATAAAAGGACTTCTGCTAGGAATATTCAATATGAAAAATAGATATAAAAATATAAGCCAGGTGCTGGTGGCTCATGTCTATAATCCTAGCTACTCAGGAGGCAGAGAGCAGGAGGATCAAAGTTCAAAGCCAGCCCAGGCAACTAATTCGCAAGACCCTATCTCAGGGTGGAGGGAAAAAAAAAAATCACAAATGCTCAAGGCATAGGTCCTGAGTTCAAGCCCCAGTACTGCAAAAAAACCCAACAATATATGTGTGTGTGTGTGGTGTGTATAAACATATGTATGTGTTTATTTATTTATTGGCTGGGGATGGAACCCAGGGCCTTACAGCGCCACTAAGCCACACCCCAAGCCCAGAATATTCAATTTTTTAATCTGGGTGCTGACTTCATGAGTATGTTGATTTTGTGAAAATCCATCATCAGTTATGCTTTGTGCGAATTTCTATGTATGTTTATATTTATAGTAAATTTTCTTTAAAAAAATAAGACTAAAAGTTTAACTTACTGGAATTTGTTGGCCCTCCACATCTTGCAGACTTTTTCCAAGTAGCTGCTGGTCCACCATCCGAACATGGGATTCATCCACAAAGGATATATACTTTAACGTCTAGGAAAAGAAGGTTAAAAAGTTTATCCATTTTCATACAGAATTATCAAGAATAGCCTATCTCACATGTAACGTCAGCTGTTATTCCCATTTCTCAAGTACCAAACCATTGAACAAGTGAACCTCAAACTCGCGTTAAGCAGAACGAACGATTTCTGAGCCTAAGCATAAATCCGAGGCCCTGACTCGGAGACCCAGCCTGTCCACCGTCCACTGCCCGCTGTTCAGAGCTCCAGTGCACCTGGTGTGTTGTGTGTTCTCGATTACAGCTGCTCTAGAATTACTGTCTCCGGCAAGGTATGATAGTTGCAACTTCAGTTGCTTACGTGGTCATTAAATTTTGTCCCTTCATAGGCCAGCCATGAAATGCTGGCTATTTTTAGTTGCAAAGATGAACTTTTCTTTTTCTTTCTTTCTTTCTTTCTTTTTTTTTTTTTTTTCTCTTTTTTTGAAGACAGAGTCTCACTGTGTGGCCCAGGCTGGACCCAAATTCTCAATCCTTCTGCTCAGCCTTCCAAGTACTAGAATTTCAGGCACGAGCCACCACAACTGGCCTGGCTGAACTTTTGTTTCAGTTGTGATCCCATGTACAATGGACGATGAGTTGTGCACTCAGCTGCTGAAAAAGAAGGGTGGTATGTTCTTGGATGAGGGAAACACAAAGGAACTCTTTGTTTTTAGGTATCAGAGATTTCTCTTTGGGGGGACCCATGGAGTTAAGTATAGCAGACTTGCCCAATAAAGCCCAAATTAATAAAATTTAAACAATAAGGATGAGGCTGAAATTCCCTATGACTATCCCCCACCCTAGGCTCCTTTCCAGAAGCAACTGCTGTGCCATTTCAGTGAGTGTCCAGTATCTTTCGTATGTTTGTGCACACCCACATTCACATATGTGCGTACCCAAATGCATATGTAACATACATGTAACCAACATACTGAACTAACGTGTACAGTTGTTTGTTGTTGAGACGTAAGGTTTCGCTGTGTAGTCCAGACTGGTCTCGAATTTGCAATCCTCTTGCCTCTGCTCCCTGAGTGCTGAGATTACAGGCATGTGCCACTAACCCGGGCCCGAAGTTGATTTTGTTTGTTTGTTTGTTTTTAGCCTATATATCACGCCATACAATTGTTACGCTGTTGGTGTCTCCCCACCCCCAACAAAATGTCTTGACTATCTTCTCACGAGTAGCTGTAACTTAGTGGCTGTGAACATGAGGTCGTCCTTTCTAAGTTGGAATTTCTGCTTTACTACCTACTAGCATTTGACTTTGGGCAAATTATTTAACCTCTGTGCCTCAATTTCCTCACATCTAGAAAGAGATAATAGTAGCCCCTATTTTAGGATTGTTGGGAAGTTTCAGTGAGTTAATATGTGCAGAGCACCTAAGAGAACTCCATAAAGATGCTGTCATTATAGTCTATTGCATTCTTTTTAGGGGTGCCTTATATTCCTTACTATGGATTTTTTTTTTCACCACTGTGGTTTGAACTCAGGGCATCACACTTGCTAGGTTGGCTCTCTTACCGCTTGAGCCACTCTGCCAGCCCTTTCTTGTAATGAGTTTTTTTAAGATAGGCTCTCTCAAACTATTTGCCCAGGCTGACTTCGAACCACGATCCTCCTGATCACTGCTTCCTGAGCAGCTAGGATTATAGGGATGCACCACCGGTGCCTGGCTCCTTACTATGGGTTTACCATAGTTTCTTTCACTGTTTATGCGGGGGACATTTAGAAACTGTTTCTGCACTGTGATAATCATTTATTAATTATTAATAGCTCAATAAATGTATTGCAATTAAACATCTTGTACACCTGTCCTGCTTGGGTACTTGTGGGTGGGTTTCTCCAGGCAGGTATGGAGAAAAGAAAATGCTGGGCTGTAAAGTAGCTCCCCATTTAAATGCTATCAGTCACTGCCAAAGTGTTCTGCGAAGTCATTCTGCTATTTTTTGGGGCTGTACCACTTTAATAAATGACAAAATTGACAGATTCTAGAACATGAAAATTTGTCTTCCCCACATATCGTCATCTCCATTTTTGTGTCTATTCCTCCTTAAGACCAAAGGACTCAACAGGAGATGGCTGATTGGGGTCATTCAGGGGCATATCCACTAGTAGGTTAAACCAATTTGTATACATTTTTTTTTTTTTTTGGTGCTAGGGTTTGAACTCAGGGCCTACACCTTGAGCCACTCCACCAGCCCTTTTCTTGTGATGGGTTTTTTTCCATGTAGGGTCTTACCCAGCCTGGCTTCAAAACTTGATCCTTCCGATCCCTGCCTCCTGAGTAGCTAGGATTACAGGCATGAGCCACCACTCCCAGCAAATTTTTATATGTTTTTTAAACCATCTAATGGAAACTGGGGGTGTTTTAGTGTCCCATAAACACAGCGTGCCTTACCAGCTTTGGCTCCATGATTGACTCACACTTCTTTCGGTAGTAGTATTCATTGACCGCACAGGGTTCACAGAACTTGCAACAGGGGTAGACACGGGATCGACAGAAGGTGCTTGAGTATGTGTTGATGAGAAAGTCAATGAATACAGTGGCCTGGGGAAATCCAGAGAAGTGCATTGTACTTACTTTCATTTTCTTTTCTTCTTTTTTTTTTTTGAGACAGGGTCTCCATGTGTAGCTCAGGCTGGCCTTGAACTCACAATTCTCCTGCCTCAGCCTCCCAAGTGCTGGAATTACAGAGGTGTGCTACCACACCTGGCCCTAAATCATTTTCTTAAAGCATGGTAAAGAGAATCTCTCACCAAACCAAAGTAGGAGAGGGTGGATCCAATGTACGTGACCAGCTGGATGATGTCAAATTTTCCTCCCTGCAAACAGAGCAAGAAAAGTTAGTTGCAGCTCAGGGAAATGCTCTTTGTCACAACATGCAGTTGTTGGTTCTAGCAGGGAGCAGAGCCTCATGGCATGACTGAGATGTGCACCCACCCCTCCCTGTCCCAAAGACCGTGAGCTGTCATGCTTCCTGTTTTTGCCATCCATAACGTTCTTATCATTAATATACATGATTATTTTTCCTGCAGTACTGGGGTTTGAACTCAGGGCCATGCTCTTGCTAAGCAGCTTTACCACTTGAGCCGTGCCCCCAACTCTGGCCGTCTGTAATGTTTTAAGCACACGAGCACACTAAGGGGAGAACCACTGCAGGTTGTTGTTCTCCACAGAGGGGAAGGTTTCAGACAAGCCTTCCCTAGAAGTGATGTGAGGATTCTTTGGAAGCAGAGGGAAACTTCCCCTGGGTGTCCTTACGGTCCTTCTCCTCAGTGGCTTTTCCATACCCTCAGCCCTATCTCATTGATTCTGGTGCTGCAAGAACCAATGCGACAAAAACCATATACTGCTGAGTGAGGTGTTGTAGCTGTTGAATTTCTTATGCCTGGCATCCTCTCTCTTCTTCTGGAGACAGCGCCCCACTTTTCTTTTGAGGGACCATCTTTTATCTCAGTCTGGTGTAGTCTGGTAGGGGTTAGGGGTGGAGGCGGGCTGCGGCAGGGCTGGTCCAAGATCAACCATTGAGAGTATGGCATGACTTGATGATGGTGATTGGTGCAGAGTGGACACGCAACCCATAAGGAGCCAGGAAGAGCTAGTGGCTGCTATCTGAAACTTTGCTGAAACTTCTGGCAAAGATGTACTCCCTTTTCATTATAAGATATCAGGAGCTGCCTGACACCATGTAGAGATGGCCAGCCTGAGGACAATGCTAAAATAGGAAAATGGGTAAGAGATGGAAGGAGGCAGTTTCCTCTTGATGCTGTTTAAACCCCTGGATCCAGCCCTGTCTGACTGGACTTCTTAGTTCTGTGAACAGCAACAATAACAAAAAAAGACATTTCCCCCGAAGCCAATATGAGTCGAATTCTATTTTAAACTATTTTGCAAAGGGGTTTAATTCATTCATTCTTTTAAGTATTTTTAAAGTGGAATGTTAGAATTTTTCCCCCCAATTCCATTCCATATTCTCCAGTGGTTTATCAGGACCCCCAAGGACATTTCATCGTCCTCTCTCATCCCACAAGTGAAATGCAGAGTCAGCTAATGACTATGACCCTCCTTAAAACTGCAACAATAATTAGGGCACAGTTATAGGACGGAGGTGTTGAGGATGGAAGGAGAGACTTACCGTGCCAAAAACCAGAATGTCAAAACGGATCCCAAAGACTTTGATCAGAGTCCGCTTTTCAACATTGTTTTCCTTATAATACTTGGCGTATCTGCAGGAGGACAAGGATTCATATTTAATTTACAGCAGTTTCTTTGAAAGTGATGATATTTTATGGAGAAGAAAACTAAACCAGTAGCCAATCCAGTCTTCCTTGTCTGCGTTCTGGGGCTGCTGCTATAGTTGGCAGAGGGAAGAGCACAACCCAAACCTGTGAATTACTCTCTCTGACCACCTGGAACCACTTCTGTCATCACAGAGTGATAGGAAATGGGCTTTTAGTTTAGGTTAACATGAACAAATTTTTAACCAGTATAGGATTAACAAAACGCAGAGGAATTAAAAAAAAATTCAAGTAATGTGATTATTTCTTAAGGAGGAAAAATAGGTTTGACTTCTAGAATAGAAGCAGCAAAGGAGGGAGGGTCAATTTTGGAAACTACTGGGCTGGGGACAAGTGCACCTCGGCAAGCTGTCCTGTCAGTATTTTCTTAGAATTTGTGTTTGTTTAGCATCCATTAACCATGGAGCCAAACTAATGGACAAATTGTTTACATTTCCCGAGCCCATGAAAGTCATACTGCAAACTCTACATCCTGTCGTGAGTCTGTACCCCACAACCACCTCATCTATCAAGCTCTCACACTCCAAGCCAGTGTTTTTCCTGCTCTACATCATCTAGGGCCACGTAGGGTCGGGGCCAGGGAGGTAGAGACTGCCCAGGTAACCTGAGCCCCCTGACCCTATCCAGACTAGCCGGCCTTGGCCTTTATTGTTCAGCCAGCCTTACCTCCTTTACCCACAAGAATCACAGGGATGGTTCTGGGCCTTGCCCTCCCTTTGCTCCCACCTCCTGGCCAAACGTGGTGCTTTTGCCTGTGGCCCTGTGTGGCAATGACCTGCCCACTCTCATCTCTTGAGATATGTATGAAATAAATTCCTTTACTGTCTTTGGTCTGTCCACATCATCACTCAGTCAGTAAGACCTGGCACAAATCACAACTACTCCAAATATGTGCTCCAGTCAGAAAAGTGATTTAATTTTTCATAAATAACTAGGAAGACTTAAACCACATAACTCATAAAACTTTTAAATTTGTCCCTCCCTCTCACCACCTTTTGCTGGTTGTTTTTAAGAGAAAAATATGTGTTTTATTTCTCAGTTATTAATTTACAACTTATTTACAGGTTTAGGGAGAGAAGAAAACAGAAGACAGATCCTTTGTTAAAATATAGCAGGGAACTTTTTTTAAAAAGCTCTCAAAATCTGATGCTGAGATCCATAAGATCAACGTCTGTTTCTGGCTGGAGGAGTTTCAATTTCTTTGCATCTGATTGTCCTGTCCCAAGATAGTTCTTTCTTCTGCTGTTGAGTGTTTTGGGTTTTTTTTTTTTTTCTCAGTACTGGGGCTTGAACTCGGAGCCTTGAGCCATTCCACTAGCCCTATTTTTGTGAAAGGTTTTTTGATATAGGGTCTCACGAACTATTTGCCCAAGTTGGCTATGAACCACAATCCTCCTGACCTCTGTTTCCTGAGTAGCTAGGATTAGAGGCATGAGCCTGTGGCTATGTGGTTTGTTTTTTAATACATGAGCAAGCATGCAAGATTATAGGGTTGGCATAATCTCACTATGCAAACTGGGAAGGCTAACTTTGGAAGTACATGAATTTCTGCTTCCAAAGTCTTTAGTGGCTCTTAAACTGAGGGCAAGATTCACTTGGGGAGAATATGTTCAAAAGGCAGGCTCCTGAGCCTGAACCCCAAAGAATGGTTTCAGAATGTGCGAGATATTCCTAGGGACCTGTATCTCTATCACAGAGCACCAGGTGGTCAGTGGGCCATGCTCTGAGGAACACTGGGCCCTGGATCAGAACATTGCAATGGACTGAATAGTAACCACCAAAGAAGATGTGTCTGAGTACTTATCCCCCAGGACATGTGAATATGACCTGGAAATAAGGTCTTTGCAGATGCAATTAAGGAACTCAAGATGAGATTACCCTGGATTTAGAGTATTACTAAATCCAGTGACTGGCATCCTTCTAAAATAAAGGAGATAGAAATTTAAGACAGAAACATAAGGGAGAAGGCCATTTGGATATGGAGGCAGAAAATGGAATGGTTTAACCATGGGTTAAGGGACGAGATGCCTGGAGTCATCAAATGCTGGAAGAGGCAAGAGAGGTCCTCCTCTAGAGCCTTTGAGGGAATGTGGCCCCTCTGAAACTTGATTTTGGACTCTGACCTCTATACGAGAGAATAAATGTCTGTTTTTTTTAAGCCATCAATTTTGTGGCAACTTGTTATAGCAGACACAGGAAACTAATACACACTCATACTTGTTCTGGACCTAAGAAGTACATCATGCATTCTGTGTGAGCCTGCCTTACTTCACTCTTGTAAATCAACTTGAGGTGTATCTTTTTGTTGAGAACAAAATTCTGTAATGTGAACGTCTTCACATTACAGAATACTTCCTGTATTTTAGAAAGTTACATTTTCTCATTTACCTCATATAACCTATAATTTCCTTCTTTTTTGTGTGGCTATTTGAAAATAACTCTGGCTTACCCGTCAGATCTCCACAATTTATTTTGGGCCAAAGATTTCTTCTGGTGCTTATTCTAGACAATTATTCACTAAAGCTTTATTCTAAAAGCCTATCTGCATCGCAACCTCCTCAGAAAGCTCAGATCCCTCCAGGAGCTGATGTTCTTAGGCTTAGCTCAGAGACTTGAAGGACGTTTGCTAACATCTCACTGGTACATTGCTTCTGCTGACTGCTAAAAAGACAGCCTGGAAGGGCAGACAGGGGACCGCTGATCCTGTCCTCTTTTCTTGCTAATGGCTATAGTCTATTCAGCAGAGCAGCAGGGGATGATCAAAAGTTACCTAAACTAGGAGCTGCTTTCTGGGTCCTGGATGAAACTCCAATGCAGAATAGGCAAAAAGCCTCAGGCAGCTTTTGAGTCAAGGGTCTCAAACTCAAATGCCCACAGGGACCAAGCAGATAACAGAGGTGAGTAATGCAGGCCAGATATGGCCAGATATAGGGACATAAGGAGTGATGGGAACAGTGATTAATGCAAAAATAAATAAATAAA